GTTTCTCACCATGCTGCAAAGACTACCGTACTTACCGGTTTTATTCGTACTATGCTTTGTAATTGTGTTGCTTGTCATAGCTGTGGCCGGGGGCAGCTCTGTGGTTTGTATTGACACCCCACAGTTTAATAACAGATTATGCTCCCAAAAGTTTCTTTATATTTTAAACAGCTTACTAAGATTGATTGCTGCATTTAGCAATGATATCTCTCTGTTGAATGTAGAGTTGTTACATGTTCCTTGTTCTAGTATTTGTTACATGTGTTGCCGTAGCTACAGTGTTGCAGGGTATCCATGTTGATTTTTACATTCATGTCTTTTTCCTGCAGGAGAGCTTAAGCGAGAGCTTGCAACGCGGCAAAACTGAGTACTTGCGGTCTGTCTGATGGAGCCTTCTCATTCAGATATGCCATGCCCCGGAGGAAAGAAGTCCCATGTGTGTGATGTGTGTGGATACGCTAGCTCCAAGCTAGGTGCTCTCAAGGTACACATGCGCACTCACACGGGACAGAAGCCGTATAGGTGTGATATGTGTGAATACATGTGTACGAATTCCAGTGCTCTCAAGCTACACATGCGCACTCACACAGGAGAGAAACCATTTACATGTGACAGATGTGAATACAAGTGTACATCTTCTAGTGCACTCAATGCACACATGCGCACTCACACAGGAGAGAAGCCCCATGTTTGCGATATATGTGGACATAAGTTTGCTGAACGTGGTAACCTCAAGATACACATGCGCATTCACACAGAAGAGAAGCCATATAGGTGTGATTTATGTGAACACAGGTTTGCTCAGTCTGGTGATCTTAAGACACACATGCGCACACACACAGGGGAGAAGCCCCATGTGTGCGATATATGTGGACATAAGTTTACTCGTTCCAATAGCCTCAGGATACACATGCGCACTCACACAGGAGAGAAGCCATTTACATGTGACAGATGTCAATACAAGTGTACATCCTCTAGTGCACTCAATGCACACATGCGCACTCACACAGGAGAGAAGCCATTTACATGTGACATATGTCAATACAAGTGTGCATCCTCTGGTGCCCTCAAGATACACGTGCGCACTCACACAGGAGAGAAGCCATTTACATGTGACAGATGTCAATACAAGTGT